CGAGTGCCTGCACTGTGTCAGGTGTTCACGCCCCCGAGTGACTGCACTGTGTCAGGTGTTCACACCCCCGAGTGCCTGCACTGTGTCAGGGTGTTCACACCCCCGAGTGCCTGCACTGTGTCAGGGTGTTCACGCCCTCGAGTGCCTACACTGCATCAGGGTATTCATGACTTTGGCCACACACTAAAAACAGCCTGCTGGAGCCTTGGCCAGGGAGCTTAACCATAGCCATCTTGGCCTCCCCAAAGGCAAATAGTAAATAATAGGGTCAGGTTTTCAACCCAGACTAGCTCCCTGGCCCAGGCTCTTAGGGTGCTACACTGCCCAGGATTTCTCCTGGCCACACTCATGGGTCACAGCCACATAGCTGACTGTCACTAGATAAGGTTCATCAACTGGAGCTTTTGAGATGACTTCTTTGTATGTTCCCTTTTTTAAGTCACTCGGTTGTATGTCAGAATTCTTAATCTTATTGTTTATTTCCTTGAACATAGTCAGCATGATTCATTTAAAATTTCTGAGAACTTCATTATTATACACTCATTTTCTCTTGTCTGTTTTCCTCTTAGTGTTTGTACATATTGTCTTTTCTCCTCATGTGCCTGAGTATTTTTAATCATGTACCAGACATTATATGTGAGAATTGAGGTGATAATTTGAGGACTAGGATGATATTGTTCTTGTCGGCAGCTAGGGTGTGCCTACAGATCACCTTAACCCAATCAGATTACTACTAGTCAGGGCTTCATTTCCTCCGTGTTGGATTTCATTTTGTTATATCTGACTTTTTTCCCCTTTTTTGTGACACTGCTCTTCATTACTAATAGGACCATGTGAAACCTCTCAAATTGGAGGCCACTTACAGGAAACCTTTCCGATTCTAGGTTCTAGATTCCTAGATTCCTAGTTTCACGCACTCACTGCCCACCGAGGAGTAATTATAATGCTGATAAACCACATGGCTTATTTTTTTTAACATTTATTTTAGATTTTAAAATGTGCAGTCTCTTTCACACACCTCATTTAATTTCGTCCTCAGGATAATGCTCTTTGATAGGCCTTCTTATTTTTGATGTTTGAAAGTTGAAGAATCTGACTTTACTAGGCCCAAGAGGTTTATCCATTGTTATACATCCAAGTGAGAGAGAACAGATTTTTCTTTATTTAGCGTTTGGCACATTAGATTTTGCAAAATTCCATGAGCCTTAGCATCCTCCTCTCTCTGCTGGGGACTCATTTGATGACTTGGAGGACACTCGCTGGCAGGTAGAGCATTTTTACAGGGAGAGTTGCTGCTGAGCATGGGTCACATTGGTGGATACAAAAGAGAAGTGTTCAAGTGATGAGCACTTTCTCAAAAACATTGAAAACCAGAGGACTGGAAATCCAGTAACTCCTTGATCCTGTCCCCTTGGAAATGATGGCGGGGGGACAGTGTCCTGTGGCACATGGCCATGGATCCAGGCAGGGCCAGAGCAGCTCTGCCTCTTCCTTCTTGGGAGTGACTACTTACTGCCTGGAGAAGGGCCCTACATTGTGTGACTCATGCCACTTGGAGTCCTCAGTGGAGAGCGACTGTCATCCTGCCTGAAAGGGTACCCCCCCCCCCCCCCCCGCCAATGACCAGGTGCCTTTGTGAATAGCCTGGCCTGAGCCTCCAGGTGCAGGCTGGCCTTGCCCAAGGTGGGAAGTGGGCCTGTTGATCATTCTGTCTTTCAGGGTTGGCGTCCATTCAGATGCCCGTGTTCATTGTAGCTTAATTCCCTAAGTAGGATGCCAAGGTTGACAGGCAACATTTGCCCCCCGTCCAGAGTTGGGGATGTGGGCGATGGGGAGAAAAGTTCTGACAGAGATTCATAAATGTCACTTAGTGTGTTAAGCAGATATGATCATCTTGGTTCCTAAATAAAAGTCATTTTCCTCCAAAACTCGGAAATGAAAAAATAGAGTAAAATGACGGGATTTGCAATTAGCCCCTGGATACTTAATTTGCAAATAGGTAGTTCTCTGTAACCATTTGATCAGATTAAGTGGTACTTCAAAGCATAAACCCTCTTGCCTTTGTCTTTGATTTGGAAATCGGTGGAAGGTAAGAGTCCACTTTCCGTGTCCCTGTGTCATGTGAGATTACAGCTGGCTGCTGYAGTTCATGGGTCCTGGTGTTAGATGCAGTGGGGTGTCTGTGTTTATGAGGGGCTCATCAGCCCTGGAGTTTGGATGCATTGCTCCTCGGGAGCTAATCTGACTTTGCGTGAGGACTGTCTAACATTGATTATCACGCAGGGCCTGAGATTGTTCAGCCGTGGGCTAAATTCCTTCCATTTCCTGGCACTTGGTATCATTGAAGGCCAGCTCTGTGTCAGGCACTGCGGTTGGACACTAGTTTGGGGATCTGGTCCTTTTTTTTTTTTAATTGTAGCATTGTCAATTATTTTTAATCTTTCTATCTTGGCTTATAGTCAGGCTTAGGAGCTCCCAGAAAGCGAATGTCACTCAGAATGTCAGGGGCTTAGAATGCATGGAGATCTCTGATAGTCTTACCGCTAAAAATAGCCTTTTCCTCCAGCAGACATTTATCCTGTTTGTAGCTCTTGCTTGAGCTTTAGCTGGGTTCTGAACTTGCCGCTTAGGTGAGTTGATTGCCACCTCATTTCCACGGCCCGTCAGAGCCTTATCTTTATTTCTCCTGCTGATTTATTTTTGA